ATTTTATATTTTAAAACATCAAGGTATTTATAAATGTTTAAAATTTTAAAACTATTCATGAATTTAAGTATTTATAAACTTTTAAATAATTTAAAATTGAGTTTATGTATACTAAAACTATAAATCTAAACAAATATATTACAGAACATGGTATAATAACATTGAAACATAAAATGACTATTATTTTTGAAATAAAATACTCTGTCCGTCCATGAGCATTTGTCTATTTTTGATTTTTCGGTCAAAATTAATAAACTTTGACCTTAAATTAAATAAAAAAGATATAAGATATTGATATAGAAATAGTTTTATTAGATTAATTATATGAAATATTTTAAAAATATTATTTTATCTAATCAAAATATAATATATATTTTACAACAACAACAACAACCCAATTAAATCCCACAAGAGTAGGGTCTGGGGAGGGTGTGTGTACGTAGACCTTGCCCCTACTCGAAAGTAGAGAGGCTGTTTCCAAAGAGACCCCCGGCTCAACGTCGAAAGTTGCATTGCTTGACTAACTGCTACTTCATTAATTAAAGAAGCGCAGACAGTTTAGAGATCCATTTTGATTTATTCCATCACACCCCAAAGCCAAAAAATGGTGAAATTTTGGCTCCATCAGAGATGATGGAAAAAATATAATATATATTTTATTTAACTAAAGTTCAAAGGTTGAAAATAGTTTACTGAAAAAAGACAAAACTCGACAAACACTCATGGACGGAGCCCGGAGGTAGTATGTATTTTAAACAAAGATTGAATAAAATTATTTAATTTTATTAAGTAAACATATTACAAAGTTTATAAATAATTTAATTTTTAAAAAATATAAAGTTTGAATAATATTTTTAAAGCAATAAAATGAATTTTGTGTTTCGAAACTATTTTTTATGAAAATATAATTAAGGTAATAGTTTTTTAATAACAACATACAAAGCAACAATTATTTAACATTGAAATTGAATAATTTTATTAAATTTTACTCCCTCCGTCCGGTATTAATGTTTACGTTTTGACTTTTGGTCATTTTTAAGGGAGGTTGACTAACCCTGTGAAATGACCAAAATACCCTTAATGAAGGAAAAAGAAGGGAAAGAAAAAGAATGGTGCCCAGGCTATGAATAGGAAAAAAAGAAAAGACTATTGGTAGTAGTGGGGAGAAAACACTATTTAAACATTGTTTTACATCCAATCAAACATTACATAATAATGATTAAAACCATTCAAATATATTCACATTACAAACAAAATTGGAGGTCCCTCCATTTTTTTTCCCTTGCCGCCCAAAAAACCCCCAACAATTCTAACTCCCTCCACTGCCCACTGGTTATATAAAAGCATTGACTTTCCCCTTTTGGCTCTTTCATTCTTCTCTCATCTTCTTCTTCTTCTCCTCCTGCCTATGACAGCCTCTTTTCTTCTTTTTCTTTTTCTCTTTTTCAGTTTTTGGATCCCTGCAAAATTGATTCAAAATCCATAGATGAATTCCAAAAAACTTGACAAAACTACAAGGCAGCTTATTAGTGAAGGTTTGCTTCGAAATTAAAAACAGAATATTGATGGTTCATATTTAGCTCAGAGGGGACAGATCAACACGCTTGCTGCACAGTTTAATGTCTCGAGACAGACGATTAGCAAGATATGGGTCATTGTAAAAAAACAATTAGACCACTTATTGATGATAATGGAGTTGTTCTTTGGGATGGAAAAATTGGCATTTTTCATTTTACTGAAACTGTTGAAGCCAAAAGAAGGAGCAAGAACAGGGCTAAAGGGGTTTGGAAGTCAAACCAATCAAGGCAGTTACCAAACAAGTCACAAAAGACATGCTTATAAATAAAGTCATTCCAGCTATCCAAGAGAAGTGGCCTAGAAATTTATCAAAGAACATTCATATTCAACAGGATAATGCTAGGCCACACATTCAAGGTTTAGACTCAGAATTTGTAGCTGCAGGAAACGCTAATGGTTTCCACATTACCTTAGGTAACCAACCCCCCAACTCCCGAGATTTAAATGTCCTTGATCTTGGGTTTTTCAGAGCCATCCAGTCCTTAAAAGAACATTGTGCTCTAAACACAGTTGAGGAATTGTTAGAGGCAGTTCAAGGAGCTTATAATGCTCTAAAACCAGAAACTTTAAATAAAGTTTCGTTAAGTTATCAGCATGTCATGGCTACAATCATGGAAAAAGGAGGAAACAATTATAAACTGTAGCATATGGGCAAAGGCAGACTGGAAAGGGCTGGGACACTGCCTAAGTCCCTTCACATAGACCCAGAGGTAGTTGTCAACACAGCAAGACTACTTGGAGAAGGAAATGGGAGTACACCTGAAGATATAATTCAGTTCAACCCTGAAGAGGAAGATGAATACCTCTCTTCAGACTTGAACTGAATGTAATGGGAACAACAAAAAGGTTTTTTGGGCAGGGGAAGGGCTTTTGGTTTTTGGGATGTTGGCAGGGAGTATATTTTCAAGTGCTTAAAATATTTTTGTTTTTTGCAAGTGCTTGAACCTTTGTATATATGTACTCAGAACAAGGCAACTACACAACCTGCTCTATATGTATTTACAACATCCAGCATACCTTACCTTTGTTTACTTTATACCACATCATCATTGCTGAACTTAAGGAAACTTAGAACACATATAAGGTACTCAGAAACACCCACACATGGCTAAGTGTTCATCAT